GGGAGAGCCCGACGAGCGGCCGGACGAGGAGGAGGACGCCCCGGGCAGCTCCATGCGCCTCGGCGTCCAGGAGCTTCCACGACGGCGTGAGAAGGACGGGGGAGCGGGGTACTCGAGGCGCGGCGTGTTGCCTCCTTTGATGTAATCGAGGACGGCCTCCAACGTGCGGCCAAGCACGCCCCACCATCGGCGCCGGCCATCGGAGTTGAGCCCGCCGGAGGGCACGACGCTGTTGGTGGCCTCGAGCTGCTCGGCGTGACGACGGCAGAAGTAGGGCTCCCAGAGCGGGCCGTCGGGGACGTAACGTGGCCCCTCCCTCGCCGCCCGCGGCAGGGACGCGCGGATACGTGCGATCTCCGCACGCCGCGCCGCCCGGGTGGGTGGTGGTGGCACCGGCACGCGGCCGGCGCTGAGCCTCCAAGCCACGGGCACCCGCATGTCCGGTGGGACCGGGTACTCGGCCTCGAAAAGGAGGCGAGCCTCGTCCTCGTGAAGATGGCGGCGCCCGAAGCCATTCGCCACCGCGCCGTCGCCTGGAAAGCGCTCGCCCATTCTTCTGAACTGGAGACGGCGAGAGGAGGAAGGGGGAAGAAATGGGCGCGTCGGCGGTGGAGTGTCTGTGCGTGCCTCCGGTGCGCTGGTGGTCGGCTTATATAGGCGGAGGCGCCGCGTGGTAGGCTTGGCCGGCGCGTTACGCGTGGCTTGATGGCGTGGCGGCCGAGGGGACGCGCGTCGCCCGGCCTTCACTGCGCCGCCCGTGAGGCATCAATGGAGGCTGACCGGCGCGGCAGCGCGCGCAGCGTGCAACTTTGGCATTGATTCGCCGCGGGAAACGAGGCGATGAGGACGACGAAGCGGCGAGAAGAGAATCGAGTCGCTGACGCGGCTGGCCCGCGGCTCTTCGCGCCCAAGACGATTCGCCCGGCGTCCCCGAGCGACCCCCAGCGCGCCGCGTTCGGGTTAGGTCCGCCGGCGTCAATTTTGATCCAAACCGCCGAAAACTGGGCACTTGGGGACGTGACTGGACCGATTTTTTGGCACCGGCGACCGAAAAATCGCCTGAAGGGCCTTCTTGGGGGCGCGGCTGGAGATGCTCTAACTGCTATACTTCCGGAAAGACATCCCTCACATCCCTAAACGCTTATTGGGGCTAAACAACCCCTTATTTCCTCTGCTCGCTTAGGTCTAGTTACGCATGTGTAATCAGGCCCTATCTATGAATGAAATGATACGGAATTGCGTATTCGTGGAAAAATATGTCGGAGATGCTTAGGCATTGGGCGTCCAATGAGGCACTAAGGCAGTAGTTTCGCAAGCAAAGCAAATGGAACCTTGGGAGGTTTCGATCCATTGGTTGGATTGAGTTTTCCATCAAAGGTAAAAAAATATATAAAGATGATAACAAACACAGCTTGCGGCAACCACTTGAGAAACAAGAATGCAACACCGAGACACGAAATTCAGCAAATAATGTTATTGCATCGTTACATCAAAAATATTAGTACAAAAAAAATTACGCCTTGCCCATCGACATGTCCTACTAATATATTCACACGTTTCGTGATGGAGACACCATCACCCAAATCACCACTTTGTGCAATTTCGTGCATTTTCTCAAGTTGAAGATATTGTCCTAGCGAGCATTATAACTACATAATATGATAAGATAGATACCCTGTAAACTAGTCCTTTTCCTCGCTAGAAAACGTCGATAAACCATGACACATATTAGGATTGGTAAACCCATTTTAGCTTACTACCTCACATATTAACCTGAGTTGGTGTCTAAATGCTAATTCTCAAAGCTCACAAGACTAGTTTCCCCAAAATTAAGGGCGAGATGATGGATCCTCACACTTTGAGTTATGGGTAGGTTGCACCTGAAGCTTTTCATTGCTTGAACCTGATGTCATCGTCACGCGTAGTTCTTTGGCCTTTCCATAGAGATACATATACAGACCACTGAAAACCACTGCACTACCCAGCAAGCTGCCATATAACAGTAAGATGTATCAGTTGTGGAATATAAGTGTTTGTAAGTGTAAATACTAAAAGAACCAACAGTCAAACTATAATATTTGATGTACTTCTAGTGCAAAATTGTACACCCAAGTCACAACACATTTGCTAAGGTACATTGCCCGGTATTTCTTTTTCGCAATACATTAAGCAAATTTCTTTTTCAATATATACATTCAAAACCACTAGATGGCCACAGGGGCCACATCATGAACAGAACACATCAATTACACTGGCTATATCACTCATAAGACTCGCTTCACACGTAGGACATACATCATGATAAACACAAAATATTTAAGCATCATTTTCTTAAAATTAAATAAAGGCACTTTTATATAGGTCACAAGAATGATTTCTCCCTAGGCTATTTTGCCTTCAATCATGCTTTATTATATAATGGTAACTACGTGAGAATACCCACCCTCTAGTCACAAAAATTGTACAACTATAATACACAAATATGTGTAAGAAAAACTAAAATATTTGAATATAAGTGCAAATATGAGACAAGGTACACGTACCTCCCAACCGTGAGGCTTTCTCCTAGTAATAATGCTCCAAGAACCATGGTGAAGACAACCGATAATGTGTTGAACATTGGTGGGAAAACGGGGCCTCGCTTTTCCACGGCATAGAGGTTTAACCAATACTTGGCTGATGTGCCAAGTGCAGCCTACATTCCAAATCAAGTATGTGCCACATTACTGCCTATTTTTTTCAACTATCATGTGACGAAAAAAACTCAAAACACATGTTTTTAATATTCAACTTCATGAAGCAATTAGATCTCGAACAATATAGGAATTCCTCATAAGAAGGTTTTGCCAATTTTGAACTAAGCTAAAATTTAACTTTCAACAATGATATGCCCATTGATTTTGATAGCTAGAATAAAGGTTGAATACACTGCAAAATAATATCTAACAAATACTTTCCTCATAAATTCTTCTATATCTACAAATGAAAACCTATCTTGCTCGGCTTGCTTGCTTTTTGCTTGATAAACTAAGATTAGTTTATAGATATAGTGGAATATCAATTAGATCTGACAATGTGGAAAGTAATGAAAATTCATTCAATAATAAGGGATTTTGAAATTTGAGTCATTCTGGAAAAGACTTACCGAGTAGACAATTGTTAATAGTTGAATGTTCCATCCCACTTGCCAAGCCAGTTTGTCCCTTCTCAAAATTATTCCTATGGCACATGTTTGGAAACCACCTAGAACACATGTCAACACTGATGACCAATGTTTCCATGGGTAAACCTTTAAAACTTTTACCTTCATTATTAGAAACCCTTAGTTTTTAGCGGTCAAAAACGAGAAAAAATTGAAATCATGTTATGCCACTTGGGGGTAATATAGATCCAAGCGTTAGTTAAAAATACCATATCAAAACTGGACATACCAGTACAGGGTATGAAAATGCATAACATATGCATTCACCCAACAAAAGCAAGGTACCCCTCAAATGGTGGTGTCCTCCGACAACTGCATTGGAACTCTTAGTGATACCTTGCATAACCGGGGACCAGAGATGCAGTTCCTTTCCATTGTACAAGCTAATCAACAAAGCCCCACCAAAGCATACCAATGCACCAACCACTTCGCACTACCCTCCTTGGATTTGAGGTGCAAGTTCTCCATGCTGCAAAATATATATTGAGATTTCTAATTTTTTTTTCTAAACCTCTATTGATTAAGAAGTTGTTTATTTGTAGGGACGAAGTTGCTAGTATCGTGTGGTAGCACCCCCTAGTTGTTGTATTCTACATTGGAAGAAAGGAGTTATGGTGTTCTCAGTTGGAGGTTGGAGGAACGGATTGTTTACCCAAGCAATATTGACAGGACAAAAGTGAAGAGCGGAGTCAAACTTGAGGAGATCACGCCATAGGAGGCGGTTGTGTCATGTAGCCCATTGTAGTACAAGGCCATAGGCAATGAGTATCTATACGAAGTAAAGATATATCATTGTCAGTATCAATATACATGATTCCTTAATCATATACTCAAATAAAAAGTAACTATATCACACTTAACATTTGATCAATATAATGCGCTATGAAATTAATTAAACTGTAGTTGTGCAACTTAACCTCTTAATTTCTTTTGTGGTTATGAAGAAACAAAAGGAATAAGATATTTGAAGAATCTGGCAGAAAAGTTTTCCATTTATTTTGAGGATTTGAAAAAAATGTTAGCATATGGGGGTTGGAGAATCAGTCGGGTTCAGTTTAAGTTTTGACATGGAGCCAATGTGTTGATTGAATTAGTTGGCTAATGCATGCTTTGTCATCATCAGACCAACATATAACCACATCTCCAAATTGGCTGATTGATTTTGACGGGAACATAGGACAAAATGCACATATATAAGCATTGAAAAAAACATAGAGTTTAGAGGAGCAAAACTACAAAACTAATTATTTTATGTTAGTAAAAAGTATATAAGGTTGTTCGACGGTGTATATACCCGACAAAAGCATTGATGAAGAGCCAGCCAAGAGCATGCTTATCCAATTCTTTCCACTTCCCACTGTATATATTTGTCATGCATATTCTTGAGTCAATGGTTAAAACTTACAATATTACTTTCCATGAAAATAATAGATTGTTTCAAAATAATCTCACCTTTCGAGGAGTAGGGAAAATGGCAACATGAAAACGGCACCTAGAATGCTTCTATAGCACAATAATGAGAACACAAACATGCCACCATCAACTACTACCTTGCCTAGCAGTATATTTCCTGTTTTAAAGAGCTCCACAAGGACAACACACACAATGGGTTTCCACCTGCTTCCTGTGCGGCAGTTTCAATCACAATATTAGAATAGAATTCCTATTCCCACGCAAGAGTTTTACTTAAATCTTATATACTGTGAGAGAATGAATAACTACGTTGAGCAAAACATGCTAATACCGTCGCCCAAGTGAACTATGTAGTAGGATTTAAGTAAACATATTACATAACAATACCATTACTCATGTTAGAAGTAACACACATCACCCCTCCCCCAAAGTATTACCTCGTCAATCTCTAAATTCATACCAAAACCTCATGTGAGGCCCATATACTTGCACCTACCAGATAAATAATTCGCTCTGAAGCATGAACATAGATAAGATTGTGTTGTATCCCATGAAGAACACGTCTAGTGCATGCATGCATGGGGTATACGTGCAACAAAGGTATCAATTTTTCATTGGCATAAACTTCAAAGTAATTGTTTTCATAAATATGAGCACAAAAAAGAATGAACTTTCCGTTGTATATTTAGCTTGCAGATGTGGCAACGAACTTTCCCACTTTATTTAGGTGATCGAGATGAGCTTCTAAGAATGGATGAGATTTTGAAATGTGAGGATTAACTTCTCAAGAGCTGAAATCCACCGTCTTTCAAGCAAGAAAACACAAAATTTGTGACAAGCAAAGTATGTATGGTACTTTCGAATTTGATAGAATAACAACTTTTAAACTATAGGTACCACATAGACGACACAATTTACACATCCAAAAGGATTGGGTGCACACATATGTAATACTCCCTCTGTTTCGAACTAATTGAAATTCCAGATTTGTCCTATGTCAAACTTAAATAAGTTTACCAAGTGTATATAAAAACATATCAACATCTCCAAAACCAAATTGATATTATAAATCTTAGTAGATTGTTCTATCGATTTGTTGATTTAGGACAATCCTAAAACTTATATTATTTTGGAAGGAAGGGAGCACCTGCTTGGACATGCTGGTGTCCTGCTCATGGACAGAAGCAGTGCACACCATGGCCGTCCCATGACAACGCCCTACGAAGTCTAGCTCAAGCCCATGTCAGTTCTAGTCAATGATGTCGGGCAAACGGCTGGGGCGGACAACTGGCTGAGCGAGTGGCAGGTAGCGAGGGCGAGGAAAGTGTAAAAGGATTAGAAATGAGAGGATTGGCGTAATGTGTTGTGTGTTGTATTAAGCCTTGAAAGAACAAGACTTGGATGGCAAGAAGCCTCGTAGCCATAGCATTGCAAACTACAGTGTTGCGGATGGTCAGACTGGAGAGAAATCAAAGGTAGAAGACGATAGGCTGACATCCGCCCATAGTCGTAGCGGGAGTATTGTGGACAGTGTCGCGTTACGGCTCATTGACTAGAGAGGAGGCCGAGGAGTTGTTCAAGCAAGGTCATAACCATTTGTTCCGATGTCAAGGTAATCGAGAGCTTAGGATAGTGTAGCCATGGTAGATGTAGACATGTGAGAGATGTTGTGGTCGATCTCAAGTCGGGGTTGCCGATGTTTGGATAGTCGCGGGCGCAAGGAAGCGCCATTTAATCAGAGACGCGGTAGTGCCCCAGGAAGAAAACGATGATACGATCAATGCAGTCGTCAAGGAGGGTGTTGATGTTGAAGATGATTGTCTGAGCCATTGTAGACGACGCACCACGCAGGGTTTTTTCAAGCCCGAGGACGAAGGCATGCGTTGGTGTTGCCAACCCCCAGGCATGCATAGACAAGGACCAGCAAGAATTGTATGCCATGTCGGGGGGAGCAGCAGAGATCATCCAGGACGGTTGCAAGTTGCGGGGCAAAACAGTATAGTGTCGAATGTTGCCCGCGGTTGCCGAAGTACACGAAGTGGTCGAGAAGATGATGACGACGTTTGTGATGAGCAAGTGCCAGACAAAGACGAAGAATTGGTCAGTGGAACCAAAGATAGCTTGCACCATGGTAGATGTGATGCAACGGTGAGGAGGACTTCGTGGCAATGATGGTGCGGCCCAAAGGACAATGTAACGGCAGCCCATTGCTGGATTGATGAAGATGCAGACATGCTCGATGATGATCTTCACATGATCCAAGGAGATGCGCACGCCCTGTTGATCAGATCGGACATGCGACAGACGACCGGCCGTGACAGGACCATGCATTCGGCCCAGAAAGAACACGCATCAGGTGCGAAGGCCGATCCAATCACGTACAACTGTGCAAACAGCGAATCGCGCGTGCTCGTAGCCAACACCTACGGGGAACGCGAGAGTAACCTGGGCCACGCAGCGTGGATTGACTGACCGGCACAAGCGGCTGACGCAGCACTGGCACCCAGGATGCTGTGTCCTGTAAGGAGCGGCGTCCTGCAGATCGGGTCCAGCTCCAGACGTCCAGAACGTCCCGTCCAGCAGTTGCATCGGCGCATGCAAGATGCACAAGACATGTGCATGTATGTGAGGTCATTAGATCATCTCCAACAGGCGCCGATCACGCCGCGCGCAAAAAACACGTATGCCGCGCACGCATTGCCTGGTTTGGCGCGGCGCGCAGCGCTGGCTCCAGCAGCCGCGCTAAAATGCAGCGCGCGCGCCGCTCTAACAGCGCGCAAAAATGCAGCACGCGCGACTCGCACAAACAACATGTGCATTCAAAAACAAAAACAAAAAAATCAAAAACAAACAAAAATAAATAATTCAATTTCATTTATTACAACTCAAACAAACAGTTTATCGTTCAATACAACAAATAGTGCAATTAAACACAACAAATAGTTCAACAATACAATAACGAACGCACAAATCATGATGCTCTTTGTCGTTCATTTCATGCCCACCACTCCTCAATGAGATCCTTCTGAAGATCATTATGCGCTGCAGGACGTCGACTGACATGATAGGAGGCAACAAAACGGGCCACCCTTTCAGCCCTCCGTCGCACTCGCACGGGATATCCCAAGAGCTCATACTGAGAGTAGTCTACATCTTGGCCACGCTCATTCTCGATGATCATGTTGTGCATGATCACACAAGCGTGCATTATGTACCAAAGCATCTTTTGATCCCAAAATCTAGCTGGTCCTCTCACAATAGCAAATTGGGCTTGCAAAATCCCAAAAGCTCTTTCCACATCTTTTCTAGCCGCCGCCTGAGCATTGTGGAAATCAAGATTTTTCTTACCTTCTGGCTTTTTCTTTTTTTTATCTGGAACACCTCGCATTCCAATTACTCAGGACCAACCAAATCGGCGGTCACAGCACGACGAACATCGTCAGGGATGTCCGAGTACCAAATATGTTGGCCATCGGTAGAACCCCTTGAACCAAGAGAGGCCAGCACATGCGCTGGGAAATTACAGGTCCTAGGAGAGAAAACAACATGATGGTCTATGAAGCCAGTGTTAAGCTGGAACTTTGCTTCCCGAAACAAAACACCGAGAGGTCCACGATCGGCAGCTTCAGTAGCAATATTCTGCTGCAGGGCCAAACAATCAGTCTCAAAAATAGCACGACCCATACCATGTTGCT